GAGCCTCTCGGCTCCAGCGCGGCTCTGCGGCGGGATCGGCTGCTTCGGGAGCGCCTCTGCCCGCGCTACCGGCATATCCGTGCAGAAAGATTCGGGACCGTGGCTGCTGCTACGGTTAATAGTGGCCGATCTTTTAAGATCTACCCCCCAAAAACAGGTCAGCGCTGAAGTATCTTTGTATCTTCAAGCATGCGGATTCTCTTTCGTATTAAGTTGATGTGAATCCCATCACCTATATTTTCTCTTTTATTAATATTTATATACCATTATTTTCAATTTATTCACTATTCCATGTTTAATCACATCAGTAAAGTTAAAACCAACAAACTCCCATTGCTTTGAATTACCTACTTTTCTTGCATGTTCCCTGAACTCTGAGACTCACTAGCTCTCTCAGTTCTTTAAGTCATAGTCTTGCCTCCAAGTGGGGTGAAAGCTAACTGTTTGAATTGTCAGTTACCCATGGGATGCCAGCAGAAGATTACACCTCTTGGTATAGTACCATGCTAGACAGTAAGGATTAAAAACAGGAAACACCTGCTCCTGAACATTCCCTTGTGTTTTCTACAAGAGACAGAAGCCAGATGAACTAGAGAAGGAGAGGAAATGAAAGGAGGACCATTGATCCCAGATGGATCAGTAACCAATGTCAGTTATGTTTGAATGAAGGGGGATCTTGCAGGTAGCAACAATATAGCAAGTTTTATTTAAGTGTGTACCAGTCAGAAGGCAGAGACCCAGTAGTTAGAGAGTCTACAGCATGATCTCACATCATACAGAGTTTAAAATCTTCTTTTAAGACAGGCCGAATAAGTATCTAGCAATTGGAAAAAACCCTCGATTGACAGTCATAGGCACCACTGAAACATAAATCCATAACAAGTGAGGATTCCATACTTGGCTCATGGAATGTCTTGGGGCTTTCCAACATGCATGACTGCGTTGGCCCATACATGAGTATGCCTAGGACTGAGGTTGGGGTCAGCTGTGCCTGACACAAGTTGAGCATAGCAGAGCCTCCGATGGTCAGAAATGCAGCAGCCAGCAAGCAGGTTTGGGAGTTTGGTTGCTGGCTCTCCCTTCCACTCCTACATCTTGATTTGACTAAGATAATAAAATAAGCAGGTTTCATGTGTTAAGGATGAAATCTAGTTGGGCAGCTCTTTGACCATTACCAAGTTGAAAGTGTTTTCCTATTCAGTCATGTATTTTCCTAAACTTTGTTAGTTGCTCCATTGTGTCTAATCACAATAAAAGCTTTCCTTGTTTAACCACAGAGAATATGTTCATGAGCCTTGAGCTTCAGGTGAGTTACCCCTCCTGGTGATGAAGCAAGTCCTTTTTCTGTCTTCCTCAGTTAAGGAAATATTAGGAAGAAAAAGTTCTTTAGAAATGGCAAGGGTACATTAAAATAAGTTAAAGCATTAAGGCAAAACTTGGAGAAAGGAGAACGTTTCCTCAATGACTGAATACATTTTTTAAAAATACTGTCTGAAGTACAGCTAAGGAGTTAGGAATTGAGTAAATTTTGTTCAAAATAGGTTCATATCATAAAAGTTAATAATATTGTACAATATAATACTCCCAGTAAAAGCAATTTTTCACTTGCTTAAAATGTCGCTAAGGCAGAGCAAATTATAATCCGGTGCTTCCTACAAATGTGTTGACACAGCTCATTAAATCAGTTATTCTTCTTGACAGCTTTTCAATACATTTCTGGAACGTGACTCTCTAAATATTCTCAGTGGATGATGTGCAGGATCACTTGTGTGTACTCCTACTCATTCCAATCTGAAAGAAGGATTTAGCCTCATCTTTTGTTCTGCACCTTCTAATACAGTTCATTAGAAGTTAATCACCTGATGTCTTTCCTTCTCAAGGGCCATACGTTACCGTTCTTTGTATTTACTCTCATAATCTTATCTTTGAAGAAACAAATAAATTTAAGTCAATTTATGTACCATTATAAAAAGGGATTTATGTAATATTGCAGAGAAAACGTGAAACCTTGGCAAGATGAAGCACCTGATAACTCTCTAAAATATGTTTCTTGAAAGCTTTTCTCTAGGACACATCTAAAATAACATTTCAGTTTCCAGGGCTGGGTTGAATCTGGGGAGATGCTTTCCCTGAGGGCTTTAGAGGCTTTGACATCCTCAGTGTCTGTGAAAGTAGAGAGCATCCATCATTCCATGAGATGACAGCTAGTCTAGATACTTAAAACAATGATACATGAAGGTAGGGCTTGATGTTTCCAAGGGTACATCCTGCTTTTGTCTTCAGTGATCCTATTTACAAATTCTAACATGTTGTTCCAGACAGCATACAGAAGTGAAATAAATGTCCAATTAGGTGTTAAGAATAACAAGTTGACATTTGTTCTCTCCCCAAGAAATTACTTTTTCACCTTCCATTAGGCTTCAATAAATATAATCAAATTATTTTTTTGCTGGCTGAGCTTAGTCAAGTCCTGTCCTTTTGAGTGATTTAGGCTTTCTATGCATAAAAGCTTCTTAATATGTCTGTATACCTCCAAGTCTGTGCTAAGGCCCTTGTCACTCATTCTTTCTTCACTTACTGAAGGTAAACTATTTTGTTCACATGTGATAATGTACTTTATTTGCAAATATCAACTGTGATATTTCACTGTTACTATATAGAAATGTTTCAGATTAAAAGAAAAAAAAAGCAAGAGAACTTTTTACTTTGATTTTTTTCCTCTCCAAAACCAATTAACTTATTTGTTTTATTTTGTCTCCTTCTCCAGAAATAGTTCTAAATAACATAACATCTACAGCATTTGTCATTCATATTAAGTGTATGATATAACAGTGGGTATTGGTATCAATTTGTTGTGCCCATGTTAGTGAGATAAGGTAAGATAGGTCATCAGAACTGGCTAAGGAAACAAAATTTCCCAGGCACATGTTGATTTAGTGAGGCCAGACTGTATCTATCAAAGCGTTTGTGTTGAAGAACTTGCACTAGATCCTGGATACTTCATCCCTCCCTGGAGGACTTAATGCTTGCAGAGTCTGTTGAGACAGAAGGTCTGTGTTAGCTTGGAGGATCCTGACTGAAATGGGTCAAGGAATGCAGTGCAAGAGATTCAGCAGTGGAGGAGGAAACGCTGACAACCTGGCATGGTAACACTTTTCCTCACACAGCTGCCTGTAGAAAACAGCCCTGCTCATCTTAGCATAAGAGCTTGAAGGCACTGCTACATTACCCTTCTTAAACCATTCAATTTTGGATACATGGCAGGAAGGTAACACAAGTGAGCAATGAAAAAAATAAACAGATCAGAAATTTTTCTTGCTCTTTTTCCTATCATCCCCTTTTTTATCCTTCTTGCCTGAGCCAGTTTATCTCTCTAAACTGTTGTTTTCATTTGTCTTGCAATTTTTTTTGTTTCCTTTTGTTTTCATCTTTTCT